CACCTGCGTGGGGCCCCGCGGGTCTTGTTTGGCACTTGGTGGGAAGGGAGCGCTGAAGATCGCCTGGTCCAGCTCCTGCCCTGGGCAGCGACTGCCGCCGCTCGGTCAGACCGTGTTCTCTCCCCCACCCGGTGAGCTGAGGTCTGCGCTGCCCCCTTCACTGTGAAGGGGCGAGCGGGTGTGAGGGGCTGCTGAATGTGCTCGCCCAAAACACTCTCCCGGATTGGTTTGGTTTCTGTTTTTCCCCTGAGGTGGACTGCGTCTCAGGAAAGGTCTTCTTCAGCACAGAGGCGGAGCCGGGCGAGCTGAGGAAACTGAAGTCTGGGGAGCGGCTGTTTTTGCTGCTAAAGAAACACACCCCACTTGCAGTTTCTAGAAATAAAGGTATGGCACTGGTGTCAGCCCCTCCACTTCACTCCCAGGACCTGTGTGCAGAAACGTGCAGCCCTAGTTCAAGTCCTATCTAGGAAGTTAATATTTGGTTTACTTTATTTTCTAACAGCTGTAATTCCAATTTACAATAATCAGTTCTGAAATATCCGTCACTCGGATGTTTTTCAGTGCTTAAGTGCTGAAGATGGCTTTAAAATTGTTTTAAATAGATAACTTACCGGCTTGTGTCCTGCTGGCAGTGTAGATATATGTGTATGTATAATACAACCCCCTTTACAAAAAAAAAAAGTTGTCCCCTTCTGGACCCCTTCTATGCATTTTAACTACAAGTCATTTTCCTTTAGGCAAAGTGGATCTAGATGTATATGCTGTGTCACTTAACTGTTCAGTGCATGGATTTCTTGTAAATCTCAGCTACTCAGGTCACATTCTCTGTCAGTGTTGGAATAAAAATTTCAAGTAAGACGGATTGACATCTGCATGCTGGTGGAATTTTATTTGGGAGATCACAGATTGTCTACAGCTCTGAGGATCAAATTCTAACCGTAATTCTCAATGAGAAATAGAAATACCTTTCCCCCAACCAGCTTCAAGGTTTTTAGGTGAATTGGCTTCTGTATTCCTCATGCCTCTCATCGTAGCTAGCTCAGGAGGACTACTTATGAGTGTAAGTTTAGATGTGTGTCAGAGACTTTGCGGGATTGAGGGCAGGTTGATGAACAGCAAGGAGAGATTTCCTTTCCAAAAGAATAAACTTGTGGCTTTTATTCTGAGCCAGATCAAAGTGATTCATGTTCATGTCTGTCTTTCAGTCCTGGAAAGTGTCTCTCATCTCTTCGTCCTGGACCAAGTGCTTTCTGGGGAGAATGGTATGGTAGGCTGGTCCTCCATCCCCAGGAATGGCTCTCAGAGGTGGTCTGGTTTTCTAGAGCTGCTGAATTCTTCTGCAGAATTCAAACCCTGCACAACTTAATCTTGGTTCTGCAGATCTTGTAATTGGAGGGATGCCTGGGTCTCTGCAGGTGGGGTATGGGGGTGTTGAGAGCTCAGCTGTTCCCAGGATGTCACCTGCGGCTGTGGTTCCTGCATTCACACATTAATGAAATCTGAACACAGTCTCTGTCAACAGCTATTCTCAGTACATAGGAAAATCAAATGCTGAGACTGAACTACTTAACCTGAAACTGCTTTTTCTTCTAGGGAAAATGCTGCATGAGATTAAAAGCCTTGTCATTGAGGAACCAAAGCATTGGCTGGATATTATCTCTGTTTGGAGAAACCTTCATGGGACTGAGGGGAAAAAAGATGATGTTTCTCAAGAAAATGGGTTGACTCCTAAGAGAAAATCAGAAGAAGAGACAAATATTGCAATTAAACGGCAGAAAACAGAACAAGTGAGAGAGACTGTGTCAGAGGAATGTCAAGTGGAAGTTGGAGAGAGTTGTGTGGTACCAGAGAGAAAGAGTGATCAGGACTACCGGACTGCAAGCAAGACTTCATTAGAAGACCCTTCCAAAAGCAGTGGAGAGAAACCTATTGTGAATGAGCAGCTTAGCTTCAGTTTCAGAGTTTCTTGTCGTTGTAGTGGAGCGATTGCCAAAATACTTAGGTCACAGGTATGCTAAAGTACCTGTGTTTTGAGAGTTTAGCAAATGTGAAGGGAGATGTGTGGTTTGTCATCTCAGCTGTGTTTTGTATGTTTTAGAATAACAAACCAATTTAAGCTTTTTCTGTATTTTCCCAAAAAAGTCCTTAACCTGCATCTACCTTAAACAAGTGGAAGCACCAGGGCTGTTGGTAATTTCTGGGTAGTTACCCTGAATACTTTTCAAATCAATGCCTGTACTGTGTGTTTGAACTCATACTCTGAAGGTAGTCAGAGCTTTCTAGATGCCATAAAAGCATTAAAATTATGAGTTGCAGTTGTGCATTCACAGTTTTTCTCTTAAGTAATCTAGTTTACAGTCATCAGAAATATTTTGTGTGTGATACATAATTCTAAAGTGATTACAACTTTTGGTGTAACTTGGGCAGGACTTGAGCTTTGGCCTCGCACACTCCAGCTGAGTGACAGTCGTGTTGTCCTACACCCTGTTTGCTCTGCTCACTCCCTCACTCACTCCCTGTGCCCTGCTGTAACTCTTCTGGTTCTTGTGTGAATTGTTCTCCTGAGAGTAAAGAGAGTCTCTTTCTTTTCCCAGGTATTTATTTTGCAGTGAAGGCTGTGATCTGTAGTTTTCTTAATTCTGTTATTTTTGCTGCCTGTGACCATTCTTCCCCCTTGCAGGAGATTGGAAGAGCCATTGGCATAGCACTCATGAAGCAGTATGGGTGGCAGGCCGATCTGCGGGACCCTGATCTAGAGGTAGTGGTGCTTGGCTGCCAGATTCGCCCCATATCTTTTGTTTTGTTCTCTGCTCCCTTTGCACTCAGGACTGCGGCCTCTCCCCGTTTGTCTTTCTGCTGCTGAATTTAACTAGAAATGATTTGGTAGTGCTGAGCAAAGCTTTTTGGTGGCCAGTGTGTGCACACCTTCCAGAGCACTTAAGCTCCAGTCATAAATAGCAGAACAGCCAGCGTGGGCCTGTACGTGAGGGGAAAGGATCCGTACAGGAGATGTCTTGGGATCTGGCACACTTAGAAACTGCTGGATTCTGAATCTCGCTGAGCACTAGTATACAGTGAATGCTCTTCTATGTAGAGTAAATGGTTTTATAATTAATAATACCCATTCAATCTTACAAAAAATGGTTCTCTTAAAGATTCAAATGCTTGGTGATGGGTTCCTCGCTGACAAAATTTCCCTCCCAGCTTGCTTAAATATTATATCCACTTTAAAAAGTGGCATTGAGATTGCCTAGTATGATTCCTTCCAAAGCATGTTTTTTCCTAAAAACTAGGGTCAAAAGTTCATAGAAACATTTTTTATGTCTGGTTTAAATAAGTTAAAGTTATTGTTGTGTCAGGTTGAGAGTTTCTAATGTTATTTTTTTCTCTTTCAGATCTTTGTACATCTTAATGACATTCACTCTGTGGTGGGGATTCCTCTTTTCAGGTAGGTGTTGTCCTCACCACATTTGTCTTGGCAGTATCAGAACAGGCATAATTTCTAAACAGTCTTGCTGTCCACTGTGAGTATTTATCTCCTGGTTTAATATTCACTGGACTATCACATCACTCTTGTAGTCTGCCTGGAGCTTATCTGAGCATGCAGGCCAGACTTTGCAGTGGGTTACTGATAAAAGCAGACTGGTTTCTATCTGTCTGCTTGCAGATCTGCCCAGTTCATTTGTTCTTTTGTATTACATGAGCTTTTCTGGGTGGTTGTACCATTATCTTACGTTAATTTTTTCTTGCTGTCTACAGGCTTCCATTGGCAAACAGAGAGTATATCAAAACAGCAGGACTGCGGTCAACAATTGCATGGGTCATGGCATCTCTGGCTGAAATTAGTGTAAGTGAATGTTCATGGCAAAGATGTGGAGTCCCAAATGAAGGGGAGGTTGCTGCTTGTCAGGGCTGGAGCTGAAAGCTTTGAAGAAGTGTGGTGATTTCAATGCAACCTGCTCTAATGCATGCAGGCAGGGTTTGCCTTATCTGTGATCAGAGTGTGCTGTCACCTGCTGTTCAGCCAGGTACCTCCTGTAATCCCAGGTCCTTCTCCTTCCTTGTATGGAAATATGTCTGAACAGCAGGATTTTTTCACTATCCAAGCTTCAAACCTTGTCTGGACTTGTTCTCCCAAGGGAAAACAGAAGCAAGTGTGATGTTTTCCACAGATTAATTTGGTGCCAATATCACAGAATCGTTTGGTTGGAGAAGACCTTTAAGAACATGAAATCTGGCCATAACCTCTACTAAATCTTCAGCTAAACCATGTCCTTCAGTACCACATCAGTGCATCTTTTGAACACCTCCAGGGATGGTGATTCAACCACCTCCCGGGGAAGCCTGTTCCAGTACTTAATCACCTTCTCAGTGAAATAGTTTCTTCTAATGTCCAACCTAGACCTCCCCTGGGGCAACTTGAGGCCTTTTTCTCTTGTCCTGTCACCTGTCACCAGGGAGAAGAGACCCACACCCACCTCACTACAACCTCCTTTCAGGCAGTTGTAGAGGGCAATAAGGTCTCCCCTCAGCCTCCTTTGCTCTAGGCTGAACAACCCCTGTTCCCTCAGATGCTCCTCATAAGTCCTGTGCTCCAGACCCTAATCCATCTGCAGTCCACTCATAGCATTTTCCCCTAAATGTCACCTCAAGGGTGGATGCACTGTCTTTAGTGAAACTCTTAAAGCTTTTTATTATGCTCTCCTCTCCCAGGACAAAGCTTAAAAGAGTCTGCCTTGCTTGGGATGCAATAACACCCTTTTTTTTTTTTTGTAGGCAGGTGCCTTTGTGCTGGATCCTATGTGTGGACTAGGAACGATACTGCTGGAAGCTGCCAAAGAGTGGCCTGTAAGTATCACAGTCACAATAGGCAGGACCTTTGCAAGATGGCTTGCAGTTGCATCAAGAAAAATCCGTACCACAGATACACCAAAATCCATTACTTGGAAAGCTGGAACCAAACTGATCTTTCTAGACCGTTGTTAAAAGTGTTTTAGTACAAACGTTCCTCCACAGGAATGTAAACCAGAGTCCTACATACTTACGGAAGTGGGTGCTGGGAGCCCTGTATTTATACTGCAGGGTTTGTATGAGGCAACTATGGACTTTTAAAACTGCTTGGGCTTATCCTGCGATCGGAGGTGCCAGTGTGACAGTACAGTCTGTTATTATTAGAGGCAGTGTGGTGGTTGTAGCTAGCTGGGGCCTTGCTGTTAGGACATAGCCTCAATATTTCTGCAAGTTAAAAGTGTCTTGAGCAGACTAGAACATGAAAGGAGTGAAGATAACCACAGACTTCCTCCATTCTTCCCTCTGGGTCTGTGTATTGCTCTGTGTAATGGTAGTAGGTCTCCCAGCAATGGGTTTGTCCTGAGGAAGAGATGTACAAGACAGTTCTGAGAAGGGTTTATAAAATAAATGTACCTGTTTGTCAACAAAATTACCTTTTTCTTTTTCTCTGAACAGGAAGCCTGTTACTGGGGTGCTGATATAAGTGATTCACAGCTGGAGGGTGCAGATGTGAATATTAGGACTGCAGGCTTGATGGATAAGATTGAGTTATTTAAAGCTTCTGTGAAAGGTATGTCTGTAGGCTTTTGAAGTGAGACATGTTTGAAATATTTTGTGTTTCTGGAATTATACAGGTAATGTAGGTTCTTTTGAAGTGATGTGTAGTAGAGCTTACTCAACAAATAGCTGAGTAGTGACTCTAGTGTCAGTGAACGGATAATTATTTGTTCTTCTCTCTCTGTCCCTGAATTTTGGCAAGAATAAACTCAGCAGAAGACAATGAAAATCAAAGTTGTCAGACATGGGCAGTAGCTGTCTGTCTTAATGGTAAACTTGTGAATACCACAAAGAGTGCATACCATGTGAGAGTTCTTTGTGTCTTACAGGAACACAGCAAGGACAAATCCAGATAAAGTGTGGTTTGTAACTTAAATTTACCAGATAAGTAATAGTGAGGACTCATTAAGCTCAGCTGGATTGTTGAAGTTTTGCAGTAGGAATATTTTAAATGATGATGTCTTTCTTCTGAAAGAGGGAATCTATTTGCTGTCAGTTCATGAGCTTGTCTGGGGAAAAGGTAGTAATTTTATGACCTTATTCTAGACCTCAAAGCCTGAGTCTAAATTAGTCCTATATGAAATTCATGACAGGCAAAAGCTGGCTGTTTTTTTCCTGTGCATGGGTGATGAAGTATACATACTTTTTTACCTTTCAATATTTATTTCTTACCAATATGGTAAGAAATATTATTTCTTTTTATAAGACTATATATAGCTTTATTTCTTACTTAAAAGATGTGATTGGCCTTGGCTTCTAGTGTAATGGACAGTACTTTGATGTCAGGCTTTTCTAATACTGAGCAAGTAACTGGTGTCTTTGTCGCTGGTCAGAAGCTGTTATTTCTGCGTGTTTTGAGAAGGACTGTAGGTAACTTGTCCTTCCATTTGTAGATAAAATGGTTGTGCTGCAGGCGTTGATCCAGGGATGGACCAAGAAGCATCTCCAGACAGTTCTGGAAAGGCTGACATAGAGTCACTGCAGGGTTTAGGTGGGAAGGGACTGCTGGAGGTCTTTAGTCCTGTCATGTGCTTGGAGCGGGGCTAACTGCAAAGCTGGGTCAGGTTGTTCAGGGGCTTGTCCACTCAAGTTTTAGTGTGCTAGGGGATGGAGAACCCATAGTCTCATCCTTTCAGATGCTGGCTATGCTCTGGCCAGCACAGCCCGGTATGCGGCCGGCCTTCATCAGCACAAGAGTGCAGTGCTGCATCAGTCAAGAGAACTGGCTGTTTTCCATGATGCAGAAACTCTATGGAGAAGCTACAGAGATGCTAGCTCTGACAGAACAAACATCTGCGCTAAGTAAAGTGCTTCCAAGCTTAATTCTTCTTTAGCATTTTGCTTGTAAAGGTGTAATTGTGTGTTGAATAGCAGCAGTTAATTTGGATCCATGCAGTCCCCTGTTAGGAAAGTCTTGCTATTGGGGCAAACATATCACCAGTAACAGGGAATCTGCAAGCTACACCATGCTCTCATGCATTTGCCTCTTCCCAGTCAGCACTGGATTGGTGGCTTCACAGTGCTGTTTGTGAAGATAAGTACAGAAGGAGCTATGACTCTGGGGGAATTACCTGAGAAAGAGCTGGCAGACAGTTTTTCAAGATGAATGGGTACATCTTTGCTGTTTATTTTTGCAATAGTTGGATATAAAGACCTGCATTTATTCTGCAGCATTGCCATTGCCTTCTGAAAGCTTTGATGCTGTGATTTCGGATATTCCATTTGGGAAGAAATTCAAGATCACAAAAGACATACGGCTCCTTCCAGATATTCTCCAGGAAATGGAGAGGTACATGTGGCCTTTGATATGCTTGGGGTTTGGCATAAATGTCGTGATGGTTTGTGATCCTAAACATTCGGACAGCTTCAGGTTTGCTTTATTCCAAACACTCTCCAACTCTGTAGTCTGATCTTGTGCAGATTGTCAAAGTCTTGAGTCATTACTTGTGCCTTCAAGGCTGTTGTGGCTTGTCTTGGAACCTGTGGAAGTGCTGATGGCAGCACAGGCTGACATGGAATGAGCTTGTTGTCTGAGCCACACTCACAAATACGATTTATAAGGCAGAAAGGAGTAAGAGGAGAGGATTACCTAGGCAAACTTAAAGCATGGCCAGACAAATAAAGCAATAATTCTTTTTCGGTTGAGGTCTGCTTGTGTAAAGTCATAGGCTTTCCTTTTGGGTTCACAACCAAACTTTTACCAGCCTGCCTTAGCACAAAGGATCTCAGACCAGAAAATGGTGGTGTGCATTTTCCTTTCTGTTACGGTGTACTGGAATATCCAGCTAGCCACCTGGTCTGCTTTTCGGTGCCTCTTTCATCTCTCACCCTGTCATTTTGTGGCAGAGTTGAGCCAGGCTAATAGCAGACTGCTTCTAACAGGCAGCTCAAACCATCTTCCCCTTTATTTCATTTTGCTGAAAACAAGCTCTTTCTGTAGGCTTGGTCTTCAGCGGGTGTTGATCTCGCTCACCCAGTGCAGGAATGTGGTGGTAAGATGGTGAAGATGAGGTGTCTCCACAGAATGACAGGGCAATCTTACATAGACATACACTGACCATCCCACCCTTTGGCTGTGCTTGTATTATGGTCTCATTTGCTCTATTGGATTATCCTAAGCAAAATATTTTCTTGGGAAGGTGGAGATGAAGAAGGGCCCATTACCATTAGAGCCCCACCAGTAAGACTGCTCAATCCATTTGCTATGAACAGTCAGGATAGTCCTTTTTTTCCCTTCTTTCAAAGCCAAGTGTAATGTTTCCTTATGTGCTAAGAAAAATGGATTACAAACAATGGTTAATTTTTCTCTGCTTCCTGAGTTTGAAAGCCAGATCAGTGCAACACAGAAAGGACAGACCTTTTATCGTTTCTGAAGGAAAAGGCCACCACCCTAATGCTGCTATGGGAAGCTGTTCCTTTGCAGACTGGTGGAGACTCATGCAATGTAAAAACAGGGTTTGAAGGCGATCCCTCCCTCAGTCTCTGGAAGAATACCAAGAGCAAAAAAACCTGGGTCCCATATTCCTTACTAACCCAATGGAAAGAACTCCTGAGGTTGGAAACATTTGGGAGTCAGGATAAGGCCCAGTTCTTCCATTTAGGAATGAAGTTATGAAGATAGGGAATTTAAATTCCATTTGGAGATGTTGGTTACTGAGTTAAACACATTAAGGGTCGTGTCTTAAGTGTTTTATTGAATGCAACTGGCATCTGTGAGTTCTGCACAGATGAATGAATGCCAGGCAGGCTGAACATCTAACCTTTATTTTTCCTGCAATTGCCAGGGTACTTTGTGTTGGAGGGACTATGGTATTGCTGCTGAGTCAAGATCTCCATAAGCGCATGGATGACATTACCAAGTGTGCTGAAAATGAGTCTCCTAATGCCATTTCTGATGGTGCAATTGAAACCACCACTGCAAACGCCCTGAACGTTGATGGGAATTCTTCCTCCTTGGTGAATGGTGTTGAAGAATCCTTTCTCAGCAGCAGACAGACACGTCTTGGGTCTCTGGTGCCAGATGGCATCTATGGAGTTAGTCTTGGAAAGACAGATGCTTTCATATACAAATACAGGAAGATCTCCACTGCTGGGAGTTGGTAGCTTTCTTGTACTGTGTCAAAGTGGACATGACTCCTGATACACTTGAAAAGCAGCATGGCAGTTACTTGGTGGAACCCTGCTGATCTAAAACCTGTGCTAACACTGTTAGCTCACCTCCACTTTCATTGGATGTCCTAAGGGGCTGCTTTTCCCTCTGGTTTTTAGGAGAAGCTGAAGATGCCTACTAGTGTTTCAGATGTTTTTACTATAAAATATTGTATTCAGAGAAAGACCCCTCAAATCCTAGTTTAGGCAAAACCTCTCAGTATGGGGAGGAGTTGCTTTGGGAGATAAAGTCTTTGTTTTCAGAACTGCAAAAAAAAAAGTGTTAATATTACATGTAAATGGATTTTTCACCCTTAGTATTTTTTAGGAGCACATCTTGTCTGAAGAAGTCTCCAGTTCTTTTTTGAGAGCTGGATATGCCTTGCAATCTTGTATTTAATTTTAAAGCTTGTATCTGAATGAGTTTGAAATGTCGCTATTGAGATTTCTTGGAGTAGAAAATAAACTATTTTCTGTGTTAATTCTTTACAGCATTTGTGTGTGTCTAATAGTGGGTATGCTTTAGCTTTTTAGGATGAAGAGACTTACTTCTATCAAAAATAATGCTTTTCCTCACTAAGTAATGTTATTGCACAGGCACAATGTGGAAGATGGAAAAACTTGCCAAGTGGAAGAACAGATAAAAGTGACTTCTGCTTGCAAAGAAGCACATAGAAAAATTCTCCTGAAAAGAGAGAGGTCTTAGCAATTCTTTTAGTTGATGCATAAGGTATTTGGGGGGGAGTGGGAATAGTCAGTCTAATTCAAGACTTTCCTGTGGCTGCTGAGCTGCTAATGAACTATTTCTGTAGAGAATGACTGCAGATTGCTTTCAGATGGTATTTTGGACAAACATTTGCAACTTGACAAGCTAGGATGGACTCAGAATCACAGAATATTAGGAGTTGGAAGGGACCTCAAAATATCATCCAGTCCAATCCCCCTGCCAGAGCAGGATCACCTAGACTCGGTCACACAGGAACGTTTCCAGGCGGGTTTTGAATGTATCCAGAGAAGGAGACTCCACAACCTCTCTGGGCAGCCTGGTCCAGTGCTCTGTCACCCTTACAGTAAAAAAGTTTTTCCTTATGTTCAGGTTGAACCTCCAAGGCTCCCACTGTGCCTTGTCTTGAATGCCAGAGGGAAGAACCTGGGTCCTTCCTCCTGACACTCACCCTTTACATATTTATAAACATGAATGAGTTTCTGGCTTTGTGTTGCAGCTGTGCTACCAGCTGTGCATTGTTCTGGCAGGGAGATGGAGATGGGCACTTCCCAGCTGTGTAAAGTCCGGGCAGGGACACAGAGATCATCAGCACCTCCCAGCTGTGGAAGGTCCTGGCAGGGAAATGGAGATGGGGACCTCCTAGCTGTGTAAGGTCCTGGCAGGGACATAGAGATCATCAGCACCTCCCAGCTGTGCAGGGTCCTGTCAAGGAGATGGAGAGTAAATGAGAGCAGAGCAAACTACTCTGTAGTTTCAAGTTGTCATTCCTCTTGCTTGAAGCAAGCAGTTCACTTTTATAATTTGCATAAACAGACTGACTGCTGTGTTCTCTGGGAATTAGTGTGGTAAATGACTGAAGTCTTTTGTGGCTGTCGTTGGAAAACCATCTCTTAAGAAACCTCCCATTCCTTGCTTTTAACTCTTCTGCTCGGAACAACGTGTCTCTAAAATAAATCCTTGGCAAAAAGCAGCAGATTTGCTTTAGGTCCCAGTGTGTTTGCTTTGACATAACTTTTGTCGTCACATAACTTTTTGATCTGTCAGATGAATTTCTCCTGAATTTCATTCTGTTTTTCTGCTGTCTCGCCCCTCTGTCAGCCCCTGCCAGGTCGGGCAAGCAGTGCCTGGCAGAAAGGTCCGCCGGGCTGCTCAGGCCCCTTGGCCGAGGCTCCCACCCTTTCCCCAGGGGCTCCCTCCTCCCCCCCC